AGCACGAACGCCACTGACATCGATTAGCCGCCATTTCTTGCAACGTCTCCAGCCAAGCACAGACGGGGTCACGGGGACCCCATCCTGGAAGTCGCACAACACCAACAACACCCAAACTCTTCGTGATCTCTTTTACGCCTTTTTGCCAAGTCATGTGCTGTCCACCAGATCTAAAGTTGACCCGCTTTGAAGCATCATTAGTGCTCACCAAGCAGCCTGTTTCCACAACCGATTGCAAACTATAGTGGTGTACCAGCGCACTAGCAGAATGAACACACTCACCCATAACTTCGGAATTAGCGAGAAATATAGGGTAAACAAACCCACCGATGTCCCCTTGAGATGTGATTTCGACCCCAATAGGCTGTGTTTACCGTTCTGTGTCCAGTTCAGGGGTATGTCCTTATTTCTTATGGGAGTCCAAAAGAAGAGCCAATGAAAAATTTATGGTTGTTCATCATTGCGGGGTTTTACTGTAAAGTCAGCGAGTGGTGTCTATGGTTTTGGAGTTACAGTCAGTTTTGTGCAGCCCGTTCACAAAAGTCTCGCGTCGCCCAACGACCCCTCGAATATCAGCGAATTTAACGAGACCCTTGCACTGCGAATGTGCACGGGCAACGCCGATTATCCAGGACATGGGGGTACAAATCCTACAATAGAAATGACCTCCTGCAACCAGCTGTATGCAGACTAAAAAGGACGAAAGCTAATAATCCAGTGAGCCCCACGCAGGTAACGTGTCCACAAAAACCGTAGACTGCACCTTTCAGCTGTGCACTTGAGTCCATTGCCAAAAGCTAAAGTGCCAGGCCCACGAGGGTGCTTCAAGTGAAATTTAGCAACTGAGGCGAAACACAGTTATGACTAACTGGATATGCATTCGCTAAATATGTCCCCGAGAGAGTATTGCCTCCAGTCTATCTTCTGTGTTGCCTAGTTTTCCCAAACGATTTCATCAGCTTATTGTGCCACTGATCGTGAAACTGTCCACGATGAATGTAATCACCTGGTATTAGGAAATCCTAGGTAACTGAGACCCTAGGAATAACAACACGAAATCACCTTGCTTTGACTCTGAAGACTTGATTATTGCACGCAGACTTATTGGATACATTCGGCCTAACTTGAGTCTGAATTAATAAATCCATGGAGTTCGGAAAGCAAAAAGAAAACTGTCAAGTCATCAACGACAACGGTAATAGAAACAGTTACTGTTTAGGGAGACGAAAAATCAGTCAAATAACCAGCTCACCTCTTTCGGTGTTTTGTGTGCAGCGCACAAGAAAATCCACTGTTCCGTAGCCGTCATTTGTCGACAAGACTGTGGTGTGCACTGTTCTTGTAAACGTACTGCAAGTCCGTTCAGTTCCATACAAAATTGCCTCAAATGTTCGTATTTCCACACAGTTACATCCTGACCCTCAGGAGCCGTTAAAATTTCATCTACGTTCTTTCTATCTCTGCGGATTAATTGTTGGATATACTGCATGACAAAACTAGGTTGAGACAAACGACAATAGAACACTAACCTGCTGAACAGCTAGTGTGCTTTCCATCTCCTCAAAAGGCTCATCTGGCCAGTTGCACCATTCCTAAATCATTATATGAGCCAAAAAGACAGCTGTTACCTCAGCCTTTGTACCCGGTCGATTGCGTCGCAGTATCACTTTGGCTGTGGACATAGTTAAACACGGTTCTCCACAAGAGGAGAACTTATCGTTGAATAGGCGGACGAGTGTCACCCGGCTAAAATGGAATGTTTGTTGGGGTGAAAATCATTCCAGCCACATGTCTAATTATTTGTACATGGATCTGGGAAAACAAATTGTGATTCCCACGTGTGAGGAGCAAGGAACGACTAACAAGGCAACGTGCTCTTGCTGGCAAAAACAAAATATGCTGAGCGTTAACGAATCAGTTATAGTACCTTCGCACATAAGACAGGTACATGTATAATTCTGTATATTAAGTCCATAACCGTAAGCATTGCGTCAGAATTCATTAGGTAATCTTGTTCTAAAGCTGTATTACTGTTAGGCATCATCCTGGACACTCAATTTTAACAGCTACGGTCGTGATCGAACAAGTATACGTTTGGCGTTAACACGTTAATGCTGTTGCTGTGAGCGCGATAGGCCGGGTTAGTCGAACAGCCTGAAATCCACGGTCTTGAATTAAGACCACTCAAACACTGGTAGAAATGCCACCTCCTGATTGACTGGTGCCAAGCCAATGGTCCGCAGGGCAGATAAGGTTGTCCCTGACTTCAACCTTGACGTCGTGGTCAGGCTTGAGCGCTGCAATGATCCTGCGGGAAACACTAGCTGAAACTCCGCTCCAAGAAGGTCACTGAGGAGCAGTCAGACCAAGAGCAGCGAGATCCTGTACTACGAGTAATCGTGCTACGAGGCGGTCTGGGGGTAAAATCGTACTATCATCTGCGATAGGAGTGTGAAGGCAGTAGGGTGTTTCCTGCAGGCGATCAGCATCTCCTTATTTATGAAGCAGCGATGCTGCCTTCCCCCGAGGAAGGATGGGTTAGAAAAGGTCGGCTCCAAAAAACGCACACTCCGATCGCCCAACTGTTGACCGTGCCCTATTACAACTGACACGATCGACTGGCCCTAGAAAACCAATGATCAGTGAAACGATAAGTGAGCAAGGCAGCTCATTAATTCATTCAAAATTGCCGACTGGAAAGATGGGCGGAACACTTTGAAGAACAATTGAGCTGGCCTCCTGAAACACAAACTCTGGATATATTGCATGCGGGTGAACGGAATATAAAGTTCAATCGCTCGTCGGAAGAAATAAAATACGAAACATCCGTATTGAAATGTGACCCATCAGGACCGGTGGTCTATATCCAGTCCTCCTTAAAAAAGGCGGATTCATCGATCACATTTTCACCCTCCGACAAATTCTAGAACAGTGACACTGCCCCAGCAACCAGCAATGGTTGTGTTCCTTGACTTGAAAGCTGCCTTTGATTCTTTGGACCGTCAGGCACTATAGCACTATGGAGCAAAGGTGTCCACCATGAATTATTGACCCTCCTTAAGCCGCTGTACTCCAACTCCCGTGGATGTGTGAAGGTCTACGGAAAGCTCTCGCCTAAGTTCGGCACATCAAGTGGTGTCAAGCAGGGCTGTTCTCTTTCACTTTTCCTCTTTAACTTCGTCACTGATACGATTTTGGAAGACTCACTAGCAGTCTTTAATACTTGTGGGGTAGAAGTGCTCCCGGGGCTTTCGCTCACAGATATCGGGTACGCAGAGAACACAGCTCTTCCTGGATGTGACGCCGTGGTGATGCAAATGATATCAAAAGATCTAAATAATTCTGCCTCAGGGTTTGGCATGCGCTTCACACATGCAAAGTGTAAAGTGCTACAGTAAGACTGAGTGGGCACGAAACCCAACCTCGAGTTTGCGGATGAGCCGCTTGAGGTAGTGGACAAGTTTGTCTACCTTGGCACCTGTATCAGTCCCAGTGGTTTGGAGGAAGATGGCACTTCCATCGATATAAGTGTCATGATTTTTGTGTGCTTATTCTTATACTTACCATATATACTCGTACTGAACTTTTGTATGTACATTTCAGTTCACGTACGCTTGTTCTTAGACAAGTAAAACGTTGCTTATCCTCGAGAACCTGGACTCCGTTCCAACTCGCTCTCGGACTCTTTCTAAACGTCTCAATTTACTTGTCTAAGAACACAATGGACCCGCAACTACGACCTCGGTTCTTCGACGCTGACCCAAACTCCGCAGATGAAGCAAAACGCTGGAATCACTGGTTTCGTACCTTCGAAACCTATCTGAAAACCGTCGAATCTTCTAAACCCGACAAACTTGAAACTCTCATCCACTTTGTGGATCCATTAGTATACGATCACATTGCTGATCACACCGACTATGAATCTGCAATCGCCACGTTACGGAAATTATATGTCCGTCCAAAAAATGTCATATATGCACGCTACCTGCTACAGACCTACAAACAGGAGAGTGGACAAGATATCGATCAGTTCGTACAAAAACTGAAATCATTAGCCAAAGACTGTGAGTTTAAATCTGTGTCTGCAACTGAATATCAAGATGAGTGCGTGCGTGATGCTATAATTAATGGCCTGGCGTCCACATCCATCCGCGAGAAGCTTCTAGCACAAAGCGAACTCACTCTGGACCAAACATATCAGCTGGCTAGATCCCTCGAATTGGCTCACAAACAGTCACAGTCATATGTTAGTAACGAACCCATATCTTGCTCTACGATTCCACCCATTTCACAGAATCCCGAACTGCGTGTTGATCCCACCACTGCTGCTGTAAAATCCATTCAGACATGTTATTTCTGCGGTTATGATGCACATCCTCGTCCAAAGTGCCCCGCTCGCGAAGCCGTCTGCAATCTTTGTGGTAAACGCGGTCACTTCCGCCGCGTGTGCCGTTCAAAAAATACCTCCAAGTTCCACACAAGTTGTACAACAAAGCCTACTTTATCGTCATTATTCGTTGCAGCAGCTCCTACCTGCCTGGCGCATGCCATCGCAACTATCGAAGTCAATGGCATCACTCTCCGTGCTCTGGTCGACACAGGGAGTTCTTGCAGTTTCATTAACGCTAAGGTCGTGAAACTGCATAATTGGAAAATTTATCCAACTTTCTCAGTCGTCACAATGGCGTCTACATCCCTATCTTGTCGAACGACTGGTTACGCTTGTGTTTCTGTCCGATACAGAGATACCTCATACAGTGAACTGAAGCTCTTTGTAATGCCAAACCTCTGCACCGACGTTTTACTCGGGCATGACTTTCTAGGTCTACATGGCAAGGTAGAAATTTCATTCGGCGGGGATCGTGATGCGCTCACCATCTGCGGCCTGACGGCTGTAAACGTTGAATCACCATCACTTTTCGCCAACTTGTCTCCAGATTGCAAGCCTGTTGCAACCAAATCAAGAAGGCATCATCCGGATGATGAAAAATTCATTCGCGCCGAAGTTGACCGCTTATTGCAAGAAGGCATCATCGAACCGTCAACGTCTCCCTGGAGAGCGCAGGTTTTGATTACTAAGGGTATCAATCACAAACGCCGGATGGTTGTTGACTACAGCCAAACTATCAACCGGTTCACATATCTGGACGCTTACCCTCTGCCACGCTTGGACAAAATGATTGAGGAGATTTCGCACTACGAAGTCTATAGTACATTAGACCTCTTGTCTGCTTACCATCAAGTCCCCATCTCGGCATCCGACAAACCTTTTACAGCATTCGAAGCATGTGGTGGCCTGTTTCAGTTTCGTCGCATACCCTTCGGTGTCACAAACGGTGTTGCGTGTTTTCAGCGAACTATTAACAATATCATTACGACTGAAAAGCTGAAAAGCACGTATGCCTACATAGACAATGTGACTATTTGTGGCAAGACCCAAGAGGAACACGATCTCAATCTCCAGTCGTTTTTGAGAGCTACGAGGAAGTATGGGATCACTCTTAATGATGACAAAACAGTCACTTCTTCAAAAGTTATCCGCCTCCTAGGTTATGAGGTTTCAAAGGGTGTCATTAGACCAGACCCTGAACGCATGGAACCCATCCGTCAGTTACCTCTTCCGCGTACTACCACGGAAATGCAACGTATCATCGGTATGTTTGCATATTATGCTCATTGGATATCCTCATTTTCCGACAAAATCAACAAACTGGTAAAGAATAAAACTTTTCCCCTACCTGCCGACGTCGAGTTGACCTTCGACAACCTAAAGAACGAACTAGAAAATGCTACACTAATCACAATAGATTATAACGAGCCTCTGGTTGTTGAAACGGATGCCTCCGATGTGGCTATAGCCGCGTCCCTAAGCCAAAACCGTCGGCCGGTAGCCTTTTTCTCGAGGACACTCAATCCGAGCGAGAAGAATCATTCTGCCATCGAGAAGGAGGCCTACGCTATCGTTGAATCCATCCGGAAATGGCGGCATTATCTACTCGGAAGACCCTTCAAACTGATCACCGATCAGCGTTCAGTCTCATTCATGTACGGCGGTGGACAGAAGGGTAAAGTGAAAAACGACAAGATACAACGATGGAGGATTGAGCTGTCCGAGTACAAATATGATGTCATATACCGACCTGGCAAGGACAATCATGTCGCCGACACTCTGTCACGAAACGTATGTGCTTCCATGGGGAGCAATAACCAACTCGGAGAGCTCCATAACTCCCTCTGCCATCCAGGCATTACCCGTATGTTTCATTTTGTGCGTTGCAAGAATCTCCCCTACTCCGTCGACGATGTCAAGCGCGTCATTTCCTCCTGCAAAGTGTGTGCTGAACTGAAGCCAAGATTCTGGAAATCCTCTGGTAGACTCATTAAAGTAACACAACCGTTTGAACGTCTGAGTTTGGATTTTAAAGGTCCTTTGCCATCTAATACACGCAACCGCTACTTACTCACAATAATTGACGAGTTTTCTAGATTCCCATTTGCATTTGCGTGTGCGGATATGACCTCGGCAACTGTGGTTGACTGTCTCACACAGATCTTCTGTCTGTTCGGAATGCCAGCCTATATCCATTCCGACAGAGGCTCATCGTTCATGTCGTCTGAGATCAATAGCTTTCTTCTGGAGAAAGGTGTTGCTACGAGTCATACATCAGCTTATAATCCACAGTGTAACGGTCAAGTTGAGCGTCTCAACGGTACTCTCTGGAAAACAATAAGCTTAGCGCTGAAATCTCACAATCTCCCGCCTTCCCGTTGGGAATCAGTACTCCCTGATGCTCTACACAGCCTCCGATCATTGTTATGTACAGTCACTAACTGTACTCCACATGAACGTTTGTTCAAATACGCACGTCGCTCAATATTTGGAATATCGTTGCCATCTTGGTTGACCACCCCTGGTCCAGTTCTGCTACAACGAGGTGGTAGGTCATCCAAGTAGAAGAAGTTGACCTTCTCAACTGCAACCCACACTACGCACACATTACTCATCGAGATGGAAGAGCCGAAACCGTGTCCCTTCGCCGTCTAGCCCCAGCGGTTCAGAATACAACTGACAATGTTCTCAATCTGTCTGAATCCAACGAGGATACCGAACACCCAGATACGACTGAACTAACCGGACGTCAGCCTGATAGCTCTCAAGCATCTGAATCTTCTTCTGTACCGTCCTCCGAACACCAACCGAGTTATCATGGGATTCTAGAACAACAGCAACGCATTCACCCTTATAGTTTGAGAAACAGAGAAGCTTGATTCAGTACATCACTTCCTGTCTACGTCAGCTCATATGTGCCTATTCAAACACTGTCGGCGGTGAATGTCATGATTTTTGTGTGCTTATTCTTATACTTACCATATATACTCGTATTTTGTATTGTATGTACATTTCAGCTCATGTATACTTGTTCTTAGACAAGTAAAACGTTGCTTATCCTCGAAAACCTGGACTCTGTTTCGCTCTCGGAGAGCAGCCTTTGTGAACCTGCACCACCTGCGGTGCAGGCGTGCCGTCAGCTCATTTGTCGGCAGGTTGCGCTGGCTTGGTCACGTGCTCCATACGCCAATCAACCGAATTCCTGGAAGAGTTCTTTTTGCAAAAGCACGAGTGGGGATCAGTCAGGAAAAGTAAAGTACGAAAGCTATCACCGCAAGCTTAGCTGTGCTGGTCATTGCCATATCCCTGGATAGAGCTCAAGATGGCTAAGTGGTTAAAGCGCCAATTTACTGACCAGGAGATCTATTGTTGGAACCCAACCTCTACATATCGACTACTCCTGTTTAAACCTGGACAACCTGGCAGTATGTCAGCTCTCGTGTTTACCTAGAGTGGGATGGCAGCTAGGCACCGGAAGATTGTTGCAAATGAACGATTTTCTCATCGTTTTATCGCCCTGAATGGAGACACCGAGGTGGGATACATTGTCAGACACGGTACAATCGCGCGCATGCACGCAAACTTTTGTCTTCAACGCATAACTTTTCCTCACCATCTCCCCAATGAAAAGTCCACCGACACCCGTGTATTCAAGCATCAGTTATATCACCTACCACCTCCAATACGTAGCTACCTAATTCTACTTCCCCAGATCATCGGCGAACAAAACTGTGGCAGATACAAGCACTGTGCGCGGCTTTTACAGATGATGAATATGTCAATCCTTACGACTGGACATACCAAAAGTCTGAAAGCAATAGGGCGAGGAAAGTGAACAGACAAGTGACAAAAGAAGGAGTGAGGCGTCAGCAATCCGCCCTGTTATATGCCACAAGTCGACCCGGTTGATGGCACCACACAACGGTCATTCGGCTAGGAAATCACTCGTAAATGTGCGACCTGTGGTTGGACGTGGGCTGGGATAGCTAGACTTCATAGGCTTAGAAAGGTTCAGCTGTAGCACCCTTCCGGTGCCTAACTGCCATGCCACCCGAAGGTTGCACGAGGGCTGAGATACTGCCAGAGTGCCCAAGCCTAGACAGGGGAAGTCGAGAGGCAGAGGTCGGGTTCGAACTACGGACCTTCCGGTCAGTAAATTAGCGCCCTAACCATTTGGGCCATCTCTTGGCTTACAGAGGTGGATGATTATGATCCTCAACCAAAGCCTCAGGCTCAAAAGCCTAACCTCAAGGCAACCATGGTTGACGCAAGACCTCCAGGGCAGTCTACACTTCAAATGAGCGAGTCGCCCCACACGTCCCAACTACTAGTATTCTCCCCACAATCATCGCTATCATCAACACAACAGTGTGTATTACTAGCGTATTTCTGTCAATGATGAGTGGTCGTGCGTTGGTGGCTAGTCGCAATGAGATTCACGGTCGGAGAAAGATCTCCCGCTTCGTTGGCGTTCGGTTAAGGTTACACACGGAAACAGATTCACCGAACACCCACAGAACGACGCGTAGAATAAAGCTTGGTAGACTCAAGACGGGATCGGATTTATTCGAGCTATTGCAGCGTGTGAAGTCCACGCGGTTTACTGAGGATCGCAGTGTCATATTTGACCGGTGGGTATGACACGACCCGGTCGCCCAGACCCAAGTAGGTGGACTTACACGGCCACCAGAAGCCAGTGGTTAACCCAGGAATAAGACTATTTAAACGACGGATTCGCCAATCGAAGATCAGTGGTCCGCGCGATTCATTTGTTAGAATGTCCGAAGTGGTATGAAGGCCTGCACCGAGACATTAAAGTCATTGTGCTATCTGTAGATTGTTGGACCTTAAGTATCGTGACAGTCAGAGTTTGTACAGTTGCACAGTGGCGGACGAGGTCAGTGCATGCTTTACCGAAACACCAGGGATATTTGCAAACTCCTTGGCATCAAAAACGTATTTTGGCAGTCGTAATGGCGGTCTTACCATACGGTTGCGAAAGCTGTCAAATCTTATGTGGAACTCAAACGTTTCCAAATATCGAGAAACTGGTGCCTTCACATGAGTATGCTGGCTTCAGCATGTAAAAAACCGTCAAAATGTAGCACGCTCTCGGTACCTAACTGCCATGCGACGAGGGCTGGGATACAGCCAGGTTACCCAAGCCTAGACAGGGGAAGTCGAGATTCAGAGGTCGGGTTCGAATCACGAACATTCCGATCAGTAAAGTGGCGCTATTACCACTGAGCTATCTC